TGATGTTACATTTTCTTGCAAGTTCTTCTTTCGCTTCTTCACTTGGGTATGGATTACTCAGATGYGAATAAAAATATTCATTTAAAATTTCTGTTGCTTGTTTGCTGAAGTTTCTTCTCTTTCTCCTGTTAAAATTAACAACACAAACTTACTCATAAGATGAGAGTGACTAACATCTGTAAATTTTTAATGATGAATTTAAACAATATCAATAATACTCTTGAATTATACAATCACTTCAGCTATTGCAATATYATACCTTGCATCTAAAAATCTTGATCTCAATATCATGACAGCTTCACAAGTACTTTGTTTCAGTTGCATCTGTATTGCACTAAACTTGCGATGAATAATTCCCACCATCCTTTCAATTTCCTTTTGTGTAATGGGTCTTGTGCGAGATTGCTCATTCAATAGGTTCATRACATGCGTGGTGAACTCTCTGCATGCCTGTAGTGTAATAACACAGCTTATTAAGGTTAACACCAACAGTATGTGAACTCAATATTATAGTGCTATATGCTATAAATATTGTTATTGTTGCTACTTAATGGCAATGAGAGGCAGACACCTCTCCCCCTCCCTCCCCCTGACATTTTAACACCCAGGATGTTATTTTAAACAAACACTACAAAATGAATGCATTAAAGCTTTTTTCTAAGTCTTTTAATGATATCCAATTGCAAATCATGACGTAATGAGACCTCCCCCCCCCCTTCTTCAGGGAGGAGTGCAGGTCATCCAAGGAAAGCATGGATTTAAAAACAATTACCAAAAAATTCAGACACAAAGTATGGGAAATCTTAAAAGCTAGAAGGTCCCAGGAGGGTGTGTGACCCCCCTGAACCCACAWGCCACTGAATCAAMACCTTTACCTGTTCATATTTTTCAAGTTCTGTGTGRTAKATCTGTCTGATCTGGTTGAGTTTGTTTCGATATTCAGAGTGTTCTGCTTGGTTTTCATGCACTCCTGCTGCGGCCGCAGCAGCGGCAGCTCCTCCTTTCTCAGGTCCTGCCACGCCCTCGGCAAGAAGCATGTTATCGAGTCGCATGAGCTGTGGATCTGGTGGYTCATCTTCTTGTGTTCCACGAATACTCAAAACTAAGACAAAAATGTTTTTCCAAGCTTAGATTACATTATGTCTTTTATTGATACCCTTCTTAGATAATCACATAAATGTACTAAATTTACAGATTTTACAGATTGACTGCCAATGAGCTGCTAGAAATCATTTTCAAAAATTTGATTTCACTTTTAGTCTTTGTTTTGGCAGATGAAGTGTTTTTAGGGTCAGTGTATACATTAAAGATCAACCAATTTCACCACTTTGCTAAATCCAGCAATGCAGTCATAAATGCTTACCTAAATCTAATTGGCAATAACACATATTAGAAGAAGCATAAGGAAAAAGAATAAAATGAGCTATCGGTAGTTTCCTGACAACAAACTGAGGTGATTAATTTGTGCTTTTTWGGAAAAAAATAATTGGAAATCTAATTCTTTGAGATGACATAGAGCAAATGCCAAAGAAGTGACAAYATAGAGGAAATAGCCTGGACTGGAAGTGAGTTACTTGWTATAATGAATAGATCACGGTGTGAGGTGGAAAGCAGGTTGAAGCTTGTGGCCTGTTAATTGTCTCTACCTTATCCAATCAACAAAGAAAATGTATAGCTTAAAAGATCACATTCAGAGCCTTGATATATATCTTCTGGAGTGAGAAAATTAAACCCACAAAACAAAATATAACTTTTAAAGAGGAAAGAAAACAAATAGATGTAGAGAAGGATTCAAATACCCCCTTTCTACATTTTGGTGAATGGACAAAACAAAGTAAAGGAGCAAAATATTTATATATTGTTTCCCAGGACTCTCGTCTTCAATTCCTTAAGCGTTGTTAGTCTAACAAAGTATATGTGGTTATCAATAAATATTACTATGGTATCTTCATACATTTGCAATTGTAATGATTGGGAAGATTTTTAGATCAACTAAAGTTCTTACTTAAATCAACAATGCTCCAAAGGCTAAAATAATATTTTGTCAATGTCTTGAAAATCTTCCAGTAAAAAGAAGATTCCTAACAATTACTTTAGTAATTATTAACCAACAATAAACTAGTTTTTGATGAGCMTTACCACCTGACAGGGTCACACTAGGCAAATATAAACCCAACGACAAAAAGGAGCAGTCATGGTATAAAACACCTGGTCAAACACAACACTACAGAAATACCACTTTTTATAAACTTGGGGATTATGATTTGACCAGTAACATCTTTAATTGTCTGTTCACAGTATATGAAAAGATTAAAAGATCCTAACTGCACTTTTAAAATCCTTTTTCTTTTGAAACAAAAACCTCTAATGAACAGTTTCCCAAAGAAATAAGGATTAAAATGTGGAACCATCAATCATCCACAATAACAGGTTAATGGCCATCTTGTGTACGAGGATGAGCCTATATCACTTGGACATTTCTAAGGATTTCGAGTGACCTCTCTGATGAACGAAGTTGCAGTGTTTTTGGCATTGAGTGAGTGTAGTTTGAAGCCCAACTTTAGTTGATTGGCGGAGTTAATTGTGACAGGCACTTGATGAAACACACGAACAATCCTAACGCATACATTATCGAAGAAAACATATTTGTCGAGAAAAAATACTTAAAAAGGTTCCCTTTAAAATTATGCAAACAAAGTCGTATTAAAAAGCAATAATTTTGCAGTTTAAGTTTAGGAGGGAAGTTATGGCGACTTAGCTAATTGCCGCGGCAAACATAGGATTATTCCGAAAGCGACAATGGATCTAAAATTGGTCTATTGTATTCGTAATAAACTTCAACGCTTTTTCTCACCTTTTAAAAACACAGTCACTTYAGATGAAAAAYTCATTCAATTGACTTCTTATTTTAATAAAATATCTTCTTTTGTTTGGGCGCTAAAAGAGAACGATTGAGACAAAACATTGCGCTTTGAAATTTGATTTTTCAACCGGGCTGAGAAACGCTGACGATCTTGTCACCAATACAACATGTCTATTTTTATTGAACTCAATTTTCTTGATTGAAAGCTTACATTGAACTCAAACAGCAATGTTGTAGCTAGAGACAGTYCATCTGTCTTTTTATTTGGAATTCTTTAAATCCTAAGCAAAACGACAACCAATAATATCAAAAATACCAAAAGAAGGAATAAAAATGTTTATCGGATGTAARAAGACTTCAAAAGATCCAATATTCGACGAGAATATCATTAAAAGAATGTCACGACGATGAAGAAGGATCAGACATCATTAAAATGTAGTAAAATAAGGTGAGTTTTATCTAAATTCAGGCGGGATCATAGGGCAGCTTTTTAGTGAATCAACGGCGCGCTCTCCGCAATTGAAACGTTTCCAGTCAACAAGCGTCAATGGGAAGCTAACAAAATGCTGATTTGAGACCGCTAAACCCACCGAAGTCACGATATCGCGATAGTTACAGCACTGTAGTTATAACTTATTCAAACTAAGAATACAAAATTACCTGTTTTTTCCTTGATCTCACAGAGAACGTTGAACAGGGCGGGTTTCAAACGATGGCAGTTCAAAGCATGCTTCCTACATCATACAATAAGACAACAACCCATTAACATCTAACATGAAAAGCCCGACAGATCGTAGTATACACAATCAACCTTAGCATGTCACCGCCGACATCAAACAGCAAATGTGTTGTTTTGATACTTACTTGGCTTGAGCTTCGTCTAACGACTGGTCGGTGATGCTCATGATTTGTTGCAATATATCACCGATATTTTGCTTTCGTCCATCGATSTCTTCTCCTTGCTTTATCTCGTGTCCTGCTTGTTGGCCATGCATCATAGATACAGAATTCACGGCAAGCGAAACTGGAGTGTGCATAAGTCTATCACTACCTTCCATAAGAACCTCTCAGTTTGCCTTCCCTCGACAAACAAGCCAAGATGTCGTCTCACGTAGCTTTTATTTATTCGCTTTCAACCAAACGCTTGACCGCCTTTTGCACTTCCAAAATACGAGGATTATCAACAGTCAGGTTTCGCCAGCTGAACAGTAGATTGATGTTGATCCTAGACGGGATAGCTGTTACTTTTTATGAAAGAGTGTTACGCGCGGTTGGCGGTCGTGTATCCGAGCTGCCACTCAACTGCCTTTTGAAGCAAACGTGTCAATATTTTCCGCGTGGGTTGAACATGATTGACAGGTCTTTGTGAATTTGCATATCCACCAGTTTCAGCTCCAATATTCCAAAAATAAAGCTTTTGACGAACACAATTAACGAATCTCTCGATGTAAAAAAMCTTTTTATATAAAAACCTAAAATTATGCATGTACTTTTTAAGYCTTGGATTCTCAAAGAGAGTGAAATGAAGCTATGTAAGATGGACCTAAATTTCCAACATGGCGGACACCAAGGAGACAATGCGTCAATATTCATTATTGTTACCATGGCAGCAGACACCAGGTGCTTGTTGATGGCTTTGGACAAAGAAGAGTGATAAGTGAAGGCGGCGAAAACCTCGAAAGGACAAACAGAAAACACTCTCGCTTGTCCCTTAGGCTCATCAAAATTAAATGTAAAAAATATTACAATTCATATGTTGAAACTGCCGGCTCGTGTTTGACATTTAGATAAAAAAAAGACACAAAGGAAATGTGTTTTCCTTGAAAGCAAATTGAAGCACATTGTCGTGAGTACGGAGTGTTGGCATAATTTGAAAGCTAAAAGCTGTTCATTTGAAATATTGGATTAGAAAGCTGTTAGTCAGCTCAATAAAGTGACAGCAATCTTTGTAGGAATGAAAATATTACAGGACGTCTCACGAATGTTTGTTTTTGTCACGTTACACTGAATATTGAGTTATGATGGCTAAAAAATACGGGAATATTACATTGCCGGGTGATTTATTAAGAAAATACAATTTAATTCTTGAAGTAAAAGTGAACATCACAAAAAGAAACAAGTGCGAAATTTTTTCTTCCCGTTCATTTTTCATTTTAATTCTCTTTTTCTGTTTCTTTCTTGCATTTTTCTTTTTCCTTTCATATCAATCCTTTTCCCCCCTTTTATTCGGCTCCCTTTGTTCCTTTTTCCTTCCGTGTTCCGATTAGTGACTTCCCCTTTCTACCCAGTCTACTCGGTCAGAGATTACTAAGGGATCCCAAAACTGAACTGCAAGAAAAAAGCGGACAGCTGTGATGTGATACAGGATGACAGTCGGATGACTGCTGAGTTAAATAGATGTCATCATATTTTGACAACGGCGCAGCTAGGCTCACATAAATACGAAGCTGTATTTGTTTATTACATGCAATGATAATCTAATTAGGTTGAACAATAATTAACAACATTTTCATAACTTTAAAGAAATGCATCAAAATCCATTTGAAAAGCGGTTGATTCATTTTCTGCAAAAAGAAAGAAAAAAAATAAAGTTTACCGTTTTTTTCTGTGTTTTCAATTATTAGGGCTGTAATCTGCAACTGAATGACGAAGACAATTTTGATCCCTGATCCCAATAAATCCCTGATAAACGTTTGATCCTGATTTGATCTTTCGATCATAAAGCTAATACTGTTCCTGGACTCCATGTCATATGAAACTAGTTGATACGTACCTCTGAGCGTCCTAGGATGATYTTTATAGAGTTTTCTTTGCACAGTAGGGTTCTGAACAAAAGCATCTACCGTCACCTACTGGAACTTTACGATGCTTCAAAACTTCATCAGAGTTGCACGTAGGAGGGACAAGGGGAGGACAGAGGTCAACGCARTAGTAAACTCCATCTTTTTGGCAATGGCATCGACCAGTGCAATCAGCAGTGATGAAAATTTCACCAGGTTTATAAATTTGCCCRTCAACTTTACAACCCTTATCGACGCATCGTTTGTGCAATTTTCCCCCGTTGGCTGTCTGCCAAATCACTGCTATGACYAACAATCCAATGAAGAACTCTTTGAAGGCCATTTCCCTGTACTGTCTAACAGTYTTCGTCGAAGAAAGTTCGTGAGAAAAATGTAGTTTGGGTATGACTGATTTACTATTAAACCTGGTGGACTATTCGGAGGGATTTGATTGGATGAGTAGCTCTGCTCACTTTTAAACAAAACGCGTGTTATCAGCCAATCAGAATAAGTTCCAGAAATTCATAAGGGGATAGAAACGTGAAACCGCTGTGCATCGTTTGTAATCAAATCACAAACTTAAGGACTGAGATTCTCGACTGATATAATTTATCTAAGTACARAGATATCAACCATTTATTTATGGAATACGAATTGTAAGTTATGATATGCTCTTCCATAAGAAAGGATATCATTATCATCATAACATTTATTGATATTAATGTCATAACTTTGTAAAAGTAACATGCTTGGGTGTCGAAATATGTTTTCTGCAAAAAAGAAAGTAAAGACATAAATTACAAACGTCACTAAGTACAAAATATTATTATATCAATTATTTAATATTATTGATATTAGAGAAAGTAATAACAGATTTGTATGAAGATGAGGGTCTCCCCTGCAAAAAAAAAAAAAAAAAAATGGAATAGCATTAGGGGGCCTGAAAATGAAATGAATACCAAAAAGTGGGAGCTACAATATTCTGAAAAAATGTTTGGTGAAACAAGGGCTGATCCATGATATGACTATATAAATAAATTAAGAAAATTAAGTGTGAATCGAACTCGTTCTGAAAAACAACTAAAGCCGGTTTCATCTGAAACAAATGTAATTTTCCACAGCCCTAAAACTATCCATTTAGCCATGAACTCCCTTTGTAACATTTTTGAGCGCATCATATCCCCTACTTTAGTACGTACCACTGAGCCTCTCAGCCGAGCACGAATCTTGCCTTGTCCTTCTGATCCTCAGTTTTCGGCGCACAATAGTATTCAGTACAAGAACACCTTCCATCGCCAACTGGCCTTTGCCGTTTCTTTAAAACTTCACGGGAGCAGCATCGAGGAATTGCTACTGGAGGACATAGGTCAACGCAACTGTATATGTGATCTTTCAGGCAAAGGCAGTGCTTTTCGCAGTCAGCGGTGATGAACTTKTCACCAATTTTGTRCTTTATCCCGTCAACTCTACAGCCCTTCTCGGCTATAAAAAGAAAAATGCGCTTGGAGAAAAAGTAGGTAAGTCTAGCCGTCTTACCAATGAAACACTCACTGGTACTGTAGAATGCATATTCGTTGTCAAATRACGCTGTTTTCGCGCTAGAAATGAATTATGGGAATTATGTAAAAATCTGCACTGGAAATAAAATTGCTCACTTTAAAACGTTGTAAATTTAATGTAAATGCTATGTAAGTGTCCACAATTATGTTAATTTGATGTGATTTTCTGTAAATGATTTAAATCAAATTTACATCATTTTGGACACCGATTTACATCAAATTTTCATCATTTTAAACACATCCATTTTTTACATCAAATTTACAACCTTTAAAGTGCGCGATTTTTTCCAGTGTTGATTCATGTGTGGAAACGTCTGGACATTTATAATATTTTAGCACTAAATAAAACGAAATCTTTATCTTAGTTTACATAAAGTCNAATATTTTGAATAATGAAGATTACATCACTTTACAATCTACTGACACTGAGGACGCTGCCCTCTCACTCCGTCAGTAAGTTTCCTATTTTTTAAGGATCTATCATCAATGACACATGGTACATTCGCGTACCTTTCTTGCCCTTGCCGCCACATCGCATGCATTTCTTGTTCAATTTCCCTCCGAAAGCCATTTGCAAAATCGCTGCCGTTACTAGAATTCCAAGTAGGTACACTTTATAATCCATAATTTTTCTTTGAAATTGCTCGCGGTTTTAGTCAACGGGGAAAGTTGCTGGAAGTTTATAAAGCATATCAATCGTTTGGTGTAACACTAAAAGATTAAGTGCACGGAAGAACAAAGTTACTTAAATGAATTAAAATAGATTTCCTTAAGTTGATGGTTAGTGGAGAAATTTGATTGGATGAGCAGCTGGAGTTTAGTATCAAACCAAACGATAAGCCAATCAGAACAAAGAAAATTTAATGATGACGCGAATGAGGACTCCATTGAAAACATGGAATGTAAGAATCAAAGAACACTCGAAAAAACCGCGCTGTAAATTTGATGTAAAAATGATGTAAGTAATATTTACATGATTTTGGACACTTACATAATACTTTCATCACATTTACACACTTTTTACATACATTGTAAACGTCTGAACTTACATCACATTTACACACTTTTTACAAACGATGTAAATTTAATGGAAATATTATGTAAATTAAATCCAAATTTACACGATATATAGTCTTGACCTAAATGTTTCAAAGAAAAAATTAAAATGGAATGCTTTCTGTTTATCTATGAAACAAATACTCTAACGACTTCAAGAGGACAAATTAACAGAGAAAAACGTAATGGTTAATTAACAGGTACCTTGATTCATAACGGCCATTTAGTCGGTGACGCGGGAAAGATATGTAGCTAATGGACTGCTGCAAAACGTTTACTAACTGGATATGGTTAATAGAACGAGTGATGGACGGTAATTCGATTAAACGCCTATGCACTTGTACGCTTACAGCCATCAGGGTAGAAGAGACAGTTACGTAAACCAACCTTTTGGGATATGAATTTTTACGACGGGAAAAATTGGTGTGCATCTTCTTTTGAACAAAAATTCAGTTTTGTTCATAGTAGCGGACACGTTCTTCAAATGACTGTAGGATGCAACAACGAGAAATTTCACGATAATAGTCCATTTCAAGTTATGAGCAGAAATTCGATAGCAATCAGTGCAGGAAAATCACAATTTAGAAAAGTTACGACATTTTACAAAGTAATTTATGTAATTTCATACATTTATTTGCACGACTTGATGACTTTCTATTTTCCAATTTTTCGACTGATAGCTCCCAAATTTGACAAATTTACTAGAAGTAATATTTACATGAATTTGGACACTTACATAACATTTACATGAGATTTACACACTTTTTACAAAAGATGTAAATTTAATGGAAATATTATGTAAATTAAATCCAAATTTACATGATATATAGTGTTGACCTAACCATCAATAAAAAGATTCGATAAGTTCTACTTTGTTCAAAAGGTTTGCCGTTTCCACAACATGGCCGCCATCTTGAATTCAAACTCGCGTATGCGTCACAGATATAACTACTGAACTTCTCGTCGTCAAATTCTTTTATTTCAAATGGTTTCTACCTATACTACATTCTTCTCTCCATTAATCCATTGGAATCTACTCTCAAAGAATATAATGGTCCTCCACAMGTCAACTGAACTTGAACTTAACGTTGAAAAATTCCGAATTATTGTCAATAATTTGTATAATGAGCGCAATTCGTATAAAATGTGAATTTATTTACCATCCTAAATGATAGAATTGTGTGAAGAGAAGATAAATTCTCTTATTTAATGAAAATACTTTAAAAAAGTAATTTTCAAATCACAGAAAAGGAACATTTATTACATCTTAAATAAAAAACACATTGTACATGCTATAATATTGTAAAATTCAAAATAAAAATATATAATATAATATTTACAAAGTCTTATTTATAATTTATATGTACTCTGTACTCTGATATAAATAGTTTTTTAAGATAACCTGCCTAAAAACACGGTCATCAAGAAGGCGCTTTGTAATTGCAAGATGRTGTTCCACATTCACAGTAAAATTCMGATATTTTTACTTCCCAGAATCTGTCTCCATAATTAAAACTGCAAAAGGAGAACACAACACAGTCAGAAGGTCATRTTGGATGGTCCGCCATACTTATGACGTCATGCTGATTGTAGCGAATTGCATCATGGTATTGATTACAGTCAAAGATGGCGGATTTACGAGGGACGACGTTTTTTTCTGCGAAGTCAACATCGTTCGGMATCGAGGATGATTTTGAGAATAACATTCCTGTTATTACAGGGCAATTTAAAGCAACTACATCTTCTGCCCACTGAAGTATACTCCAGTTTGAGCCTTACAAACAGCTTTCATCAGTGCTTTCATCAATCCCATAAWGCATCTTACCGGAAAGCAAACTACGTCATAAGATGAAAGGACAAAAGCAACAATAAAACAAGCTTAAGTCCCAATCTCCTATGGTTTATTATGAATGCTGAAGCATGGATTGAGAAATAAACGCTTACCAAATTTCTTCGTGGAATTCAATATCTTTTGAAGAAAAGAAGGCTATTCTAGGAAATCGTATATCCTATAAAATAGAGATGTTTGAACGAAGAGAGATGTTTAGAAATAGAGATGTTTAGCAGTAGATCTCTGAAACAATGAATCTTTTAGGAGAAAGGGAAGTTGGCAGGGAGGCAGGGAGGCAGGGAGGCAGGGAATGAAATGGAGAGAAAGACACGGTTTACGAATAAACTTGATGACAACTAATGGTAAACAATCCCTGTATTGCCAATTAAATTAAAGTGCCCATGTAACCTTTTGAACGGAAAGGGTCCAATGTCAAAGTATAATTACAGAGAGAGGGAGGGAAGGAAAAAAGGAAGCTCAGAAAGGAGAACGGATGACGATAATTAGTTAGAGGGAGGAATCAAGCCAKAAAGTACACRAAAACAGACAGACAGATAGTYACCTGGTGCTCGATAAATACTCGCGTTGGTATACAATTTGGTTCACACGAATGATTGATAAAACGACTTATATTGCCGTACTTGTCACCGTCTATACAGTACATCATGTGATCACTTTCCTGTAAAACGAAAAAAACTCGTGTAAACAGGAAGACAGATCTAAGTAGCTAATACGTATATAAAATTGAATAGTAGCTCTTGATTGAAGCAGCTTGACAACAATGTGCGCCAAAATGCAAAGGCCATTCATATTCGCTAATAGGTTCCTTATTCTCTAAAGAAGAAGTTTAACTTKAGGACGTTTTATGTTATTTGGGCTAGAAAACTTATCTTTTATTAAACCCATTGTTGCCCGTGTAGCCGCCGTAGCTGGCCAAGTTCCCTAATAAACACAACACGAATGTTTAATAAAACTAACCTTACAGTCCAGGTCAAAAAGGTAAGTATCACTTTCTCTGGCGTTTGCTTCCGCGTCAGAAATAAGTTCGCCAGTATATTCACACAGAAATACTCCTTTAGGGATTTGAGATAACGCACGTACGGCCCAACCTTGCATCACAATATAAAAAAACATTGAAATCAGATCAGTCATTGCTTGGGCTCCCTGTGAATTAGGCGCATTTTTCCATGCGGTGTCCCATTGAAGTCACGTGGCTTCAGTAACAGTCCAAGCAATCATTTTTTCAGTTTCCTACCTTTAGTTTTCGTTTTGAACAATTGGAGAGGATACAGCATCCCTTTTTGAACGACTCGATTGCGACAATAACTCCAACATTTGCACATCTTGTTACACTCAAAGATTAAGGGTCGATCGATATTCTGTAACTCTAAATTTAATAAACCATCCTATAAATGAATAAATGAATGCATCAACAAATGAAAATGAACGAATAAATCAACGAAACGAATGAGAAATGGACGAAACAAATGAATAAACGAAAAGAATGAACATGAAAGAAAAAAAACGAATGAAAAATGAACGAATAAATAAATGTAGGAATGAAAAAAACAAATGAAAAATGAACGAAAAGAATGAAAACTGAACAAAACGAATGAAAAATGAACGAATAAGTAAATGAATGAGAAAATGGTGCAACATGATCGCCATGAAGACACTTATTTTTTCTTACTAAAGTGATAAACGTGGTAATAATAATAAATTTATAAATAAATGAAGACAGAAAGGAAATCGTCACAAAAAGAAGAACTGGATCACTTAAAGAATCCAAACTAATGAATGTAATGAAGGTTACCATACCTTATCATACCAAATTTGCTCATCATCACACATTTTACCACACGAACAGGATGGGTTATTGCCGCAGTCGCCGTCACATATACACGCCTGAAAAAATATCAATATTTCTTTAAAAACAGTAGCAACGACAACAACATCAGCAACAACAACAGCAACGACAACAGCAGTAGCAACAACAGCATCAGCAACAACAACAGCAACGACAACAGCAGCAGCAGCAACAACAACAACAATAACAAGAGCAACAACAAGGACAACAGTAACGACAACAGCAACGACATCAGCAACAACGACAGCAACAACAACAATAACAGCAACAATAACAACAAAAAACAGAGTCGTGGATCACTAGATAATGTAGAAATACCTGAATGGTGTTAATGTTCCATTCTATGCTATCTCCTCCAACCTCACAACACTCTTTGACGAACGTGAAGTCGGGTAATGGATCATCATCAACCTAACAATCGTAAATCCGTTATAATCACAGGCAGCCCAACTATTAATTAAAATTTATAGTCAGCTACTAAAGGGTGGTTACCCTTCCAAATAGGGCAGTAAGAATAGAATAAAAAGCAATTAAGATTTAGACCGCACGAGTACAGATTTTCGTGTTTCAGAATCCTTTTTTTATCAGAATACAAAAAAAGACATGCGTCCACACGTAGCGTCTACGACTAGAGTATACAGGGTATAAGGCGATAGTATACAAGTAAACAGTGTCTATGCAACATTTGTCTAAAGATAAAATTATACTTAATGTAACTGTACCTCATTAACGCAAGGAATTGCTACATTCTCTTGTCCCCTGGAAATATCACTGTTAAATAAAAGAAAAAGCCATAATCAAGATAAGTTAAATAAGATATCTGAGTTGAAATGAGCGTGAGGACCGTAAACTACTGTCGACGGATGCCGGCATCATCAGGTCACAAAAATAGTATACAAGAGTGCCGCATACCATTGTTATTTTTAGATGCTCTAGTTACTCGATCCTATGCTAATTTAACTCTTGTATACTAAGCTTGTCAAAACCTTTTTTGACTTTCGACAGCAGTGCACGGCCCTCACGGTCATTTAAACTCAACATGCTAATGAAGGACAACTTTTTAATTCTTCAAGATATCTGAAGTTGAAATAATAAGGTAAGGAAGGAGGAAGCGGGAGGAGGAAGAGGGAGGGGGAACGGGGAGGAAGGGGGGGGAAGGGGGAGGAAGGAAGATGTAAGGGGGAGGAGGAAGAATGAGGAGGAGGAAGGGGGTGAGGGAAGGGAAAAGGGAAAAGGTATCAGTGCCATTTTGTGAATCATGAATATATTATTATTCAATAAAGTCTTACCAACTTAATATCCTAAATTTAGATTCGAGTGAGTAAAGCATTAGAGCTTGTTTGGTTTCTAACAGTTGACGAGACTTTGTGTCAGCTAGAGCGACCTGAAAATATGAAAAAGTGCAAAAGGAATTTCTTGGTGAATTTGAACTGCTTAAAAAATATTATAAGTAAATTATAATCAATTAAGAATATATGAGAAAACAGTAGGGAAAAAAAACACTCAAAGTTTTCATTGTTAGAGTGTACAGTGGTAAATTAACAGCCTGTAAATGTAAAAAGAAATGATTCATCTTACATCAAGAGGTGTTTTTCCTTCRTTATTGGTAATGTCAATTTTTGCTCCTCTACTTGTAAATAACCTAAAGAAAAAGTAGTTCACAATCAGTAAAGAATGACCGTTTATCAGTTGCATTTCATATTTTAAAAGAGCAAACAATCATATCAACAGATCTTATTAATTTTATTATTATTATCAACAGAAATTATTATTACTATATAACAACTTACTGAACACAGGAATAATTATTTTCCCTTGCAGCCACATGCCTGTCAAAAAACAATAAATCATCACTGAAACCAATTATGAATCTACTGATGCTTACATACACGTAAACAAAATGTAGTTCCAGATGACAAAGATGACAAAAGTTTACCTCATCCCATCCCCTACAATCTTCCAAAAAAAAAAAAAAAAGCAGTCACCCATGACCCCGTTCCACTGTACAATGTTGGTGGGAGATTTCTCTGTCGTTTTTGGTGTATTTTCGTCTGATTGCAGTCCCCAAATCAACATTGAAGAGGAGAGAGGGGAAAAGAATATAATAATAATTCATGGTGTCTTATTTTTTTATGCGGGAGATTGCAGCTTTGCAGTAAATCAATTGACATTTTATGYATTATATTGCATTTGACCAAGCGAACAAAATCCACAAAATAATAAGTGTAAACTGTCCATGATTTTAACACTAGAAATTACATTAAATACCACAAAAGATAAAGGACTTCACCAGGCCTCAAAGGATGAACACAATTTCAATTACTTACAATGGTGTTTCTCCATGTTTATTGACAGAGTGAATATCCGATAAGCTATCAAGCAGTAGAAGCGCCATGTTGTAACTTCCAGCATACGCGGCCCAGTGAAGCGGGATGTTGAGTTCCTATGTGAAYATACAAAATTATAAAACTACAACAAATACTGTATACATCATAAACACTTSCATTTAATAAACATGGATCTCTTTAAGTATCATCTAAATCTTTATTAATATTATAAAAATGACCTCCATTTTCTCTGGAAAAGGAAAGAGAATGTTCCATAAGCTACAAAGTCTAGCAAAGTTCTATATTAGACTCTCTTTCTGCAGCCCTTTGATAACCAKTAGACCATATGTTTTTTCAATGGCTATGTTTTTATTATTCAAATAATCAAAGTAAAACTTTCAAAACAAAATCGTTTCAGCGCGTGCCGGTTCCGTGCGCGAGAGATTCGTCATTTCATCGGTCTGTCCTACGATCGACAATGGCTCTCGACCAATCAGCGTGCGAGAATTCTACTAGTTATGTAAAATTCAGAATGGACAGTGCCACTCAGCACTCTTATTCATTCAACTACTGTATATAAAATACTGCAAAAAACAATGTTACTACTAGTATGCTCCTACCAAATCTCTCAGATGRACATTCCCCTGTTTTTCTAAAAGGAGTTTAGCAGTTTCAACCATTTTATCTTCTGCTGCCCACATGATGGCAGTCCAGCCRCCATCATCCTAAAAAAAACAAAAACATCAATGAAACAATCTTACTATGCCCACTGGGAACTTGTTTGCACAGGCATCCCAACCTAAAAAAAATTAACAATCCTCCAACAGATATTTTTACCTTTTGATTGACATCAAACTTGCCAGTGTCCAATAGATAGCGTATAATGCTGTTATGYCCTCTTCTGGCYGCAACATGCAGTAAYGTCATACCACCTTGATCCTGCAACAACAAACAAGATTTATGACATTTTTTCTTTTGTAAGAAAACATGATATCATAATTCTTAATTCTTATCAGATTATATAAATATTTTATTACCTTGACAACAGCTGAGGCTCCAGACTGGACAAGGTACTCCACAGTTTTGAGCCTTCCATTCTCAACAGCATCAAACTGATAAAAAATTTGAGAGTTCAGTCATTGGAAATGAAGAGCTAAAATATACATTTAACAGTCAAAAACAGTCTAAAGAAATCAGTGAATCAGTGAAATCGTGTATTTCTCAAATACATGTTCCCAGAATTTTTTACTTCCCTC